AGCAAAGGGTGACTTCCTAACCAGTGACTGCATCACATTGTGTGGGAGAAAAAATAGGGAAGGGCTGATAGAATGATTAGGATAATTGTCATCATTAACAATTACTGTGAACTGGGCACTTGACACACAAGATAATGAAATAGAGGCATAGAGAAATTGGGTAACTTGCTCAAGGTCACTCAGTTAAGTGGTCAAAACTGATTGCAGTTCCAGATGTATTTGGCTCCACGCTCCTTCAAACACTCCATGCCACCTTGCAGCATCAGCTAGGAGGGACCTTTTATTGATTCTAACCCTTTGGGCAGTATATGCTGCATGCTGTTCTAAGCACCTCACATAATTAATTCACTTAATCCTCTTCATCATATGGTAGACACCATTGTTATCCAAATTTACATAAGAGGCAATTGAAGCACAAGGAGGAAATAACTCCTCACATAGCTAGCAAGCAGCTCAGCTAGAATCTGAACCCAAACCACTGGTTTTCAGGTCCTTGTACTCAATCACTGCACTATAGGATGTGCAATCAGACCAAGGGACTATGGACTCTCTGCTCTGCCACTTATTAGTTAGCTGTATCATTTTTGAGTTATGTAATATCTTGGAACCTTAACTCTCTTAATTATGGCATGACCTAATAAGTTTGATGGGGAGACTATTTGTGTTATCCCCTAAAGCCTACTGGCTGGGCAGGTAGAAGATGCTTAATAGACGGAGGCTGTTGTTTATAATTATAGATCTAGAGTACATCTAGGCTAAAAGGGGAAACATGGACTTTTTATATTTTTAGTAACATTATAATTATACATTATAGAAAATGCAGATAAAGATGAAGACAATATTCTCACATTTCCAGCAATAAAAGATTAATACTATTAATATTTAATGTGTATTCATCTGATCTTTTTCTTCATGTATGTATACAATTATTTACTATAAAGTTGTAATTCTATTGTACATTCTGTTGTGTGACCTCATTTTCACTAAATTGTCTATAATGAAAACACTTCTATATCCATAAATATTCTGCAATGCCATTTTTTAAAAAATGTACATGCTTCACTCTATGGTTACACTCTAGTTATTTAAATCAACACCCTGTTATTGGATGTTCAGGTTACTTTCAATTTTTGCCTGTTGCTTAAGTAAAGTTTTGATGGAAATTCTTGCATTGAGCATAATAACCCAGCCTTTAGCTGTGAGATTTGAGCATTGAATTTGAGTTCTTTCTTTTTGTATACTTACTTACTGTGCAACTTTTAACAAGTTATTCACCCTTTCTGAATTCAGTTTTATCATTGGTTGATGAATATAATAATAATTACCTTGTGAAATTATTGTGACTATTAAATTAAGAGATTGATCATAGATTCTCAAGGTGTAAGTGCTTAGTCAAATGATATGAATATCTTCAAGAGATGGGATAAAATTGCTCTATTACCTTCTAGAAAGTTTGAGCAATTTATATGCTTGCCAGTAGTATAAAGCAATATTCATTTTCTTGGAAACTTGATAACATTAACAATTATTTTTTGTCAACTTGATTGACAAATAAATTTTCAGTGTCATTCTAATTTGCATTTCTGATCATGCAGATCTTTAAGGAATGTTTATCTGTGTGGGTGATATGGTACTGCTGGCCGATGAAAGAGAAGATTGATGAGTGAACAAAAATATCTGGAATGAAGAATGGCAGAGTTATAAAATATGCAGCTGATGGAGAGAGACAGGGTTTTGGAAAAATGACACTTTATAAGTATATAAACTGGCCCTCCAGAGACACCTGCTCTCATAATTGCAGACAGCCTTATACATTGGGTTGTCTGGGAATTTGAGGCAGACAAAATTCAATGCTTTAAGTTGGAGAAAATGTGGTCACATGAGCCTGCTTTTCACAGGTTGGATAATCACCTCCACATGCCTCCAGGCCTGGTCCTGCTCCCTGTGATGTGTGGGCGGGTGGGTGGGGTGATCAAGTTCCAGCACCCTGCATCTGAGACTCTGCATTTCACTCCATTGGTGGAAGGATGGAGTACTGGGCAAAGACTGCCTGCCATTAGCTGCGATAGTGATCAATTCTCAGACGATGCCCCCCGCCCCCAGGGGTTCTCCTTTCTGAGCTTTACCACTTCTCAGAACTTCCAAGGCCGTTCTTTCCATTCCTTCTAGAAGGAAACCCTTGATGTTTCCACTGCTAGGGTCTTTTTCAGGCTCCCAGAATATTCCAGTAAGCACCCCGCTGGTTGGCAGAGGAAGTCAAAGATTCCATTAGAATGTTGAATTACCCCTCCCTTGCTTTTCTTTATTGCACTCAAGACAAAAAAAATCTTGGGTACCATTTCCCCCAAGGTTTTCCTCAGATCATACAGCCTCTTGGGTCATTGACCTTGCTTTTCACATATTTCTATCCTGACACCATCTTGCTCACTTCCAACAGGCAATTTAGCCTTATTTTTCGATTTTACCTCCTAATCTATCTCAAGTCTACTCACCTCTGATCATCTGCAGCACAATCACTCACATTCTAGCTACTATCATTGCTCCCCAGGACTCTTAAAATTTTTAGTCTCCATGTTTCCTTTCTTGTTCCTCTTCAATTCATTCTCCCCATCAAGCCTGGGAGATCTTCATAGAATTTCCCATTGTTTTTATTAATGTCCCAAACTCTAACATGGCCTTTATGGCCCAGGTTCCTGTGCATGTTTTCAGTTTTGTCATATCCCCTGGCTCCCTGGGCCTCTTCCATCATGACCACAGACATTTTTTTAATTTTTCGGTCCACCCAGGCTTCATTCTGCCTTCAGGCCTCTGCACATGTGTTTCCCTCCATGTGGACCCACACCCCACTGTATTCTGAATCCTTCAACTCTCCACCCAAAAGTCACTTTCTCACAGATGTGCATGCTCACTGCCCCAACTAGATCATATTCCACATACATTCTTAGTTCTCCACATAATTTTTCCTTCTTGATGGTTTTCACAATTCATAAATCCATATCTGTGCAATCATGTATCTATAGCCAAATAGATTCTAAAATGCATAGGGGAAGAGACCAGGGTTTTCTTACTATTTATGGCACACCTTTGGTAGATAATAGATAAACAGTAAATTACTTATTAAAATAATGAATAAAGAAATGATTTAACAAGACCAATTAGCTTTCTCAAAACTTTTTCCTCAGAAATAAAACATACCCATCATTAAATACTTCTTCCTGGTTTTGCCTGTTTCTACCTTAGATAAAAGGATCGAGGAAGCCATTTATCTTTGGAATTCCACAAATAGGGAGAACAACATCAGAGGTTTTACCCTCTTATGCCAGTTTCATAGGTTATTTTGGTGATTGATGGCAGGCTAGTAGTGAAATAATGTAGTGAATGTCTAATTAACTTACCTGACCCCAACACTTCCTACTTTTGACCTTACTCATTAGTCTTTGCTGCAAGTTAATCCAGAGAATCCTTCAGCATTACAGGAGCATGATCTTTCTGCTGCATCTAAACATTTGGTCATTAAAAAGGTGCTTCTTGAAAATTTACATATGTAGTGCAAGAACTATGGGCTTTACTTCTATTCCCTCTGCTTGGAAGAGAATCCTTTTTTACCATCTATCTAAATTTTACTTAAACTTCTGGCCAAAGTCCCAGAGGAATAATTGTCCCATGAATTGAATAACTATTATGTGCCAAACATAGCACATTGTGTATGTTTTTTCATTTCACCCTTAGGACAGGGTAGGGCAAATACAATACCCCCCATTTTAAAAAAAAAGTAAGCAAGAGCACTAAAGTTTAGAAATATTGAATTACTCATTTGTCACAGCTAGGTTCAAACATAGATCTGCCTGACTCTGAAAGTCATACTGTGCTCTACTATCTCCATTTACTGCAGGATACATTTTCCAGTCATTGCCTTTCTTACTGACCCTCTCCTCCTCTGAATTGCCTTAGTTTCTTCTAGTTGTAATACCCTACTCTAGATTTTATTGTGTTCTGTGCTTATTTGTTGGGGATCTATATGGATTCCCCTGATTTTCCCAATTGTCATTATGTAGCAGGACAGTAATGGCTGCCATTTCTGCCCCTCCTACATGGGGCCTGAATTGGATAGCAGAATGTATTTTGTAGTTGTTTATACTCTCATTGCATGGACTAGTGGGAAAAAAGAATGAGGAATTCATCAAAGGAGCTTCCTACAATCTACAGGGGAAGAGTGAGTCAACCCAGACTTGGAAGTGTTTTTGGTGCTCTTGTTTAGGTCATGCATGTTCCAAGCAACTAAGTAATAATAAATGGAGATATTGCTTCCTCAGAAAAGCATCACAGACCCCTTTGAAAACAAATTATACACATCTATCAATGGGATGACATTTTGCAAAAGAGAAAAGCATATGCTGTTATGGTTCTGAGTGTTAAAATAACAAACCACAGCCCAGTGCCACCTCCCAAGAATTTTTAAATGAACAGTTTCATTCTGTCTTAGAATAAAACCCTTGCTTTAATATTATAAGGTATACTGCAGGTATGCCATGCTGCCAGTTACTATTGGGACAACAAATACCCTAGTCAGTGACCCAGAGAGCTGGGAAAATACATGAACTCATACTTACAGAACACATAGAAATGCCATTTACAGTTTTTCTTCTTCAAATTGGCCTGGGATATCTCAGTCTACACGGGTTTTTATGCAATACTCGCTTTGATGCTTGAATGCCTCAGAAATACATTCACCATCATGATTTGTGCATTTTCTAAAAGGTTTTGTTGTTAACATACAAGCAAATAGTATTAAACATTATCTAAATTATGACTGCCAAGTACTGGATCTTAATAATGAAACCAAATTACAAAGCATTTCTTTTAGAGCTATACAAAATATATAAAATTAAATATATCAACCATATTTAAATTTTCCAATCCTCCTATAGTACAATTTTCAACATATGTACACTACTGAATATTTTAAGGAGGAAGTTAGCAAAAATAAAAACATAAAAATGTTTAAATCTTTGAAACTCTTTATTCTCTGGCTTCATAATAACCCCTAAATGGCCAGATTGTTTTTCTATATAGTTCAAAATATCAAAAAGATTTATTAGTAATTTATAATTGGGGATGAACTCTAAAATGTCATTTGTAGGTAACAGGCCTAAGGACCAGTGTTCATGATGTGTTGCAGATCATCTAAATAATCTTGAACACTTTCAATCCTCCCAAAATATAATAGAATGAGTCAATGTTATAACAAACAAAATTCTAGGCATATTAGGAAAAAAATGGTTAGCACCCAGGGTGAAGGATTATTTCTTTGAAAGTACAGCTAAGCACATTCTTACCTATGAATGCTTGCATTCGTATATTGAAAATACCTATTATCTGGAGAAATCCTGTGATATGCCATTGGCTAAAAAATGAATTCTTACACTGAGCATAAATAGTTTGTTCTTTTTAGATAATGAAAATATGTATCAAATCTTCATTTATGTTCCAAAATTAAATAAGAAATTAAAAAATCTTTAGCTTGGAAAAGTAAGAAGAAAAAAGACCCATTTGTTAACTCTACTCCTGAGCACATCAACTTCTCCCAAGACACACATTTGCTGACTTTAAATATTTATTCTTTAAATTAAAAGTTAGTTGTTTTGTTATACAGCTATACAAAGTTCATAAAGTTTCTTTCACAGTGGAATATAATGGAATTTTACAACTATCTAAAAAGTTAACATTGGCCTAAGGAATAGTATTTACTGTGTATATACAGTTGACAAATTTTCTACCATCCAGCACCCTAATTGACAAAATAATCTACCTCATATTACAGGATTTCTGAAAAGAAAGATAAACACACCCACACAGACATGTACACACATATAAAACCTTCTATGGCTGAAAACACAGTATCACTGCCTTATCTGTAGATAACTTGCAGAAATTGCCAAATACAATTTAGTGATAAGAAAAATCCTTTCAATGATGAAAAATACTTATAAGTTAAATCAAAGTACTGCTTTAGTTTAACTATATATAAGAACCTTCATAAGAATCTTCTTATATATAGACTTCTAGTACTCTAAATACATTTACTATTCCTTTTTTAAAATGAATTTTCCTCCCCACAAAACTAACTGCACTGTATCTTTGAAATTACACAGAAAAATTAAAAAATGAAAAAAAAAAACAGTGCAAGTGACAAATATACAGAAAATTCACTTTTTCATTCTTCATAAGTACTGACACCAATTTTCAGAACCATGAAGGGATAGAAATTCACCTATTTTCAAAGACTTGTTGTAGACTATGCAGCAACTTTGTTGTTTTTCCTGTATTCAAAATCTGCAAACTCCCTGCCCCAGTGCCCTCTTCGGAATCCGCGGTGAAAACCCCAGTGAAATCCTCGAGGGGTAGTAAATGTGCCACCTCTGCCACCACTAGGCCTTCTGTTGCCACGGAAACTCAGACCTCTTCTGCTTCTGTACCTCCCACCACCATGGTTTGGATGAAGTGGAATTCCAAATGTTTCAGCATTTAATCTTCTTTCTTCAGCCCAGGTTGGCCTCTGTTCCCTATTAATATTATAAGAAATATTGTCAAAGAAGGATTTACTTTTGTCATAATAGCAATTAGGTCCAAGTGGATCTTCTTCATCAGTGTCTTCTTCACTGTTTTGGGTATCAACTCCTTTACCTTCACCATTTACTGGCTTCTCTTTTTTCTGAAGTTTATCTTCTTTTAATTTCAGTTTATTATGAAACTCTCTGTCAATCTCCTCCTTGTTAAATTGTGCATTTGCACGTTCAAAGTCAAAGTCATTCTCAAATTTCATTGGACCATATCGCTGAATACCAAATCTCCTGCCACATCGATGACCCCCACGCCCTTTTCTTGGAGCTGACGAAGCACCTGGAACTACTTGTCTCTTACTATGATTTCTGAGTTGCTCATTTTCTGACCTTGAAACGTTGGGTACTTCAGCTTGCTTGTGCTCTTGATTCTCTATTGTTTTTTGGCCGGTAGATGGCAAAGGCGGGGTTGATACAGGGCTCCTTCTCCCAACAGGTGCTGGAGCAGGTAAGTGGGCCGGGGCAGTCTGTACTGCTTGTTCCATGGTTGGACTTTCTCTCAAAGGGTCTAACTGAGGGCTTGAACGACCTTGAAATGACTGTGTTTTTATAGTTCTTGTATCCTGTATAAAGGCAGAACCAATTGCACTACTTTGGGATAAGGTATCACTGTTTGATGTCTCCATTCCAAAGGATGGCAAGGAGCTTCCAGCAACACCAAGAGCACCAAACTGCTGCCCGACCAATGAACTTAGACTGAACTGACTGTACATGGGCATGCTGCCAAAAGGTCCGTAGGAACCCACTGACTGGAACGGAGACGAACCTAGCGAAGACTGAATGATAGCTGAGTCCTGAGGCAAAGAACATTGTGGTTTGGGAGGCTCGCAAACGGTCAGATCTTTAATATCATTCCCACGGAAGATAATATATTCAAAGACTTCATCTCGAGGTGGTACGGGCCGATCTGTTGGTCTGTCTTCTGTACCAAAGGATCGAACTTTGGCGAGGGCTATAGTGGAGTTCTCGGTGTCGATGGTGTAGAGGATGCCCTCATAGCGGATCTCCGCTTTAGAGATGAGGCTAATGTTGCTGCCGAGGTAAGGGGTGCCCCAGCTCATGACGCCCCTGTCCCTCCCAGCAGAGGCAGATACCGCTCGGCACGCCCCCTGGCTACAGCGGCTGCCTTAGATCCAACATGGCGGCGGCAGCTCTGCCACCCTCCCCCAACCTCCGGGCCTCAAACCGCAGGGCATGCTGGGCAGGCCAGGCTGTGCTCTCGCGAGACTCCCCGAGCACTTGGCTTGTTTTCTTCATTACAAGGGGCTCCAACTCATTTTTTTTACTTAATGGTGAGCCTCCCAGTTTAATTGTGTCCACAGAGTCAAAGTGAGGAGGTTATTTAGCCTGTATTTACATTATCCATACACCTTCACATTGTCTTCCGAACCGCTTCTCCTTACTTGTTGGATTTTGTGCTTTTAATTGCATGTTCCCCTGCCAAAGTACTTTTTCTTCGTATTCATACCAAACTTCTTTTTTAGCTTCTGCTCATGACGTCTCCCTCTCCCAAGTCCTCAGGGTTCCAATAATCAGGGAAATTACTTTCACTTGCAGGCATTTTGAATGAGACTCCTCTGAGTCCATTTTCAGAAAAGTAGGCCACAGTCATCAAGAACAGACTTCCTGAGTGGTGACTTTCTGGCTCATCATTAATCACTTCCTTGAGAACAACTGGGAAAATGAATTTCATGTGACTGCAGGCAGGTATCAAGCAAAATCCTCTGTTGAGTCCTGTGAGGATATAAGTAATTTTATGGAATGGAGAAAAAAAGAAGTTTTCTATTTTTTTTTCCTAACCTGAGGTTTCTCATTTTATTTTAAAAATCTCAATAGCTTTCAGTTTTATCATTTCAATCAATCATAGGAAATGATTCTGAGGAGTTTATTTGTATAGTTGGTAGAAAAGTAAGAGTGCTCCAGTGAGTAAGGGACATAAAGAGGTGCTGCCAGTCCAACGGGGTCACCATCTTTTCTCAGAAATAATGTCTACCCCATGAGTTAGATTTATTAAAGCAGAGGTCTGTGGCACAGGGAAAGGTAATGAGCCATGTGGACCCTTTAGTTCTAAATTGCTTTTACTTAGTTGTGACCCAGCTCCACATGATGAATTTATGGACTACAACCCATAATAAAGAGATATTCACACTACAAAAGAAAAGTCTTTAGAGGGTAACCCCAGACTTGACATGTAATTATTACCACAAGGTGTTTGAAAGCTCTGGCAGAGATTTTGACTTGTAATCAATCTACAATCTTTTCTTGGTAGACTGGACAATTGTCCTACATCTTTTAGGAATAGTGAACTCAGAAATAAGACAGAATATTACCCTTGCTTTAGCATTCAGGATTTCAGAGCTGAGATGGACACGTAGAAGCCCAGCTTCTACCAAGGAGTATAGCTATTAACTGAGGGAGATTGACAGCTTAACCTTGCTGACTGCCATCAGAAACCAAGCTCCTCATACTGAGCTGCTGACAGAAGCAGTATCCAAAGCAGCCAGCACAGTGACTGAGTATAAGCAACCACATGAATTCTCACTGTGCATACACCTTTCCAGCCCCATCCTTACAGAAATGTCCAGCCCTGCAGGAATAAGCATGAAGCTGTTGAGTGCAAAGGTGGAGCATCAGAGACAAAGTATATATATTTTATCATACTTCGTAAGCCACTTTAAAAAGAAATTCTTAATAACTTGAATATAACCCAGCCAAAAACCTACAAATAAGGCATAAAAACTCTTAATTTGAAAATGTTGTCTAACTTTCCAACTGTGGCCGACTTAGAGCATTGATTTATTCACCATGGATCTGAGCCTGTGCTAGGCATTCACGTAGAATGGTGAGCAAGGCACAAGATGAAGGGGAAATGAGCAAGAGTAGCTTCATTATTGATTCTGCTTCCACTTGAGGGTTTCCTTTAAAATAACATCACTGCAGGTGCTACAGTTTTCTGGAAGCAACTGGTTACCTGAATGAAGAGATGTTATGGTTACACTAGGGATCCAAGTTCAATGGAGATGTATCTGGAACAGGTAGCATATCAGCAACTTGACCAAAGTGCTACCAGGGCCAGGGGGAAGTCTCAGCTGAAGACAGCTACTCTCAGGGGAGTACTACTAAGTAGTCATCTCTGAAGGGGTAGTTCTTGGTGTCTTACCAACTTCTTTTTCTGAAGGAAAATCCTAAAGAAATTCACTACAGCCCTCTGAACCTGATGGTTGGATGAAAAAGTAGAGAGCAAGTTAGCAGATTGTGATGCTCTTGCAAACCAAATAACAGAGTAACTGCCAGTTCTCATACTTAATTTTTCTGTTTAATGGTTGTGAAGAATATTCATGTTGGTGGAATGAAGAAGATAAGAGTGACCATTTGCTGTGTGTGTAACAGGGATATAGATGGCTATCTTGGATGAAGGAAACTAGAGTACAGGAGAAAAGGAAGTATGCATGGTTGTAATTTAATGTCTTTAGATGAGTATTTCCTTAATTAGTTTTCTTTGTGGAAGTGAGTTAACATGTAGATCTGCAACAAAAGACAACCAAGAAAAGCTAACAGCAAATGACACTTTTGTGTGGCTGGTCCTCCTCAAAATGCCACACTATGTATTTTTATGAAATACTAACCTAAACTCACGATGAAAGACAAAACTCCTGCCAAAAATTTAGGCTCTAAGTGGGAAGGAAGGGTTGAGAAAATATATAGAGTGAGATGGTTCCCACACTTGTATTCTTTGGTTAAAATATTGACTTAAGACAGTCCTACTGCTTATTTTAGTGTGGTTGGAAAAGATGGAAAATCACAGCCTTTTCCTCTTAAGAAGCTTTCTGGATGGTTACTGGTAGTTACTTACCTTTGACTGGGGGAAAGCTTAGGAGGGAGTCTGGGGAAGCATAATGGAAGGACTGTGTGAGCCTTCACTTCATGGAGGGAGTTTAATGTTCTTTTCCTCCAACCCCTTACCTGGATGACTGCTCCAGGAACTGTGTAATCTTCCTTCCGTTCTCTCCAAGAGTCACAGATATAGATATTAGCCCTTTCTATGAGACAAGCCTTGCATTAGGTGGCTCGTATACTTTGTAGGTGATTCTGGGATATGAAATACTCTAAACTATATTCCCTGTTCTTCCACAAGGAAGAGTCATATCTCTTGGTTGACAACCTGCTTGGGCTCATATCTCAAGGATCACACCTTGACATAATCCCCTCTTAAAAACCTAACTATGTATGACTCTGCTTTGACCACCATCCCTCAGCAGCAGATGCACACACACTCCATCACCAGTCCTGTCCCAACCCCCAGCAATAGTCACCATAAGCTGCATTGACAGAGGCACTGGCCTTGGAGCCTCCAGGAGTCCTAGGGTAACTCTGAAAGAACTCTGAGCATATTTGCCTGAGAAATCCTAAACTTTTTCTCAGCTGTGCAGGAATAGAGACTTAATAGACTGAGAAAATTTACTTCATTCAGTCCCTTCTGGTCCCTTTTCTCTCCATATTCTGAGTATGCAGGACAGTCAAAGCCCCAGAGGTCATGAGCAGTTCCTGGGAACAAATTGGGGAGAGTAGCTACAAGCATAAAGAAAGACATTTGCCCTGTTAAAAGGCCAGGATTCTTTAATTGAGAACATATCAGCAACATTAGCATCTCCTCACCCCATGTTAGGAAAAATGGATTGTGACAATAAGTCAGGCTGACTTCTTTTTTTCTCCACACTCAGGTGAATGTATTTGGTTCCATCTGCACAAAAAGTAAAGTTAGGATTGCAGGATTAATGTCTTTCAGAGTTTAAGAGCCTTGGAGATTATTTAATTGATTGGTTTCTAAATGTACTTAGCTATGGAACCCTTGTTCAGGGTGAACTATCATGGAAGCACATTACTGAGAATAGGGAAAACCAGATGTATTCTGATTGAAACAAAAGTGGAGACATTCTGGACCCTCTCCACTTAGACCCCAAATCAGACCCTCCAGAGCTGCTTTGTCCAATATGCCACATACCATATGGGGCCATTTAAATTTATATTAATTAAAATTAAATAATATTTCAAATTCCATTTCTCAGTCACACTAGCCACATTTCAAGTACTCATTAACCACAAATTGGACTGCATGATTGTGGTATATCTCTATAATTGCAGGAAGAAAGTTCTGTTTGGGAAAAAAACAAAACAAAACATTGTTCTATAGAATAGCACTGGTGTAAGGATGAGAGATTCCTTAGAGATCTGAAATCTCTAGAATTTTGAGAAAAACAATCAGGAAACCAGTGGTTTCATCTAACACCTGAGCAAGAAGAGAATTCCAAAGAGGTAATATGGTTGGCCAGCCACGTGGCAGGTTATTGAAGAACTAGAGCTATGTGTTTTTTAAAATAATTTTTAGTTGTAGATGGACACAATAATTTTATTATGTTTATGTGGTGCTGAGGATTGAACCCAGGGCCTCACATATGCTAGGTGAGCTCTCTACCACTGAACCACAGCCCCAGCCTTAGAGCTGTATCTTATATCCCCTACTTCACTGGACTCCAACTCTGTCCCCAACCTGTAACCCCACACCAACATCTCTATTGTCTAAAGAGAGGGAACCTAGATACCAGGTGTCTCTGGTGTTTGGAAAGGGACATTAAATTTTATAAATGTTCAATCAGCTTTAAGTATTTAAATGAAGACATTTAAACTCACATCAGGCACAAGCAGATGTAGTGGGAAATACTGTCAATTAGTGAGCGGCTAATTAATCTTTCTTTGCCACATACACTCTGGCAGGATCTAGAAAGTGCTGTTTTGCTTGGAGCTGTGGGAGTGCTTGCTATGGAAACAATGCATGATTATAATGTTGATTTCTTGACTTTGTGCAGAAGCTGGCGGTGGAGGGCAGCTCTTGCCAGCAGTCACCTTGCAGTTAGAAAGGAAAAGAATTAGAAAATAGAAAGATACTTTAATTAGTCAACCAGGGCATTTTGGATTCTCTGATTTTCATAGAATAAGCATATTTTATCTTCCTAGCATCTTCCAATTCAGATATTCTTAATCGTATCTTGTTATTTCTCCATCTATAGAAAGGTCTAGATTAATGAGTGGACTATTACAGATGGAGTTCTCCTCCAGGACCTGATACCTAACTATGCTTAGTCTAAGGGCTCAGAACTTGCCTCAGTCTACTG